TTGTGAATAGTATATATCGAGAGGACTCCACTATGCAACCTTTGACATGCTCATCACATACTGTTATTTATAGTGAACCTTCTTTACTTGTATTTACAGGGAAACAATTGGTACAATTCTTGCCCGGGGCCACAGCTGAAATAGAGACGCCAGTTAGTGCTGTTTCCATTAGGAGGATTCCAAGGTATATACCCCAATTCTATTTAAATATAAATTGGAAAAATCTCTTTCAAAATTTGGTACAATTGCTTGAATTTTTGGAAAAATCTCTTGAACAACTGCTGATATCCTAAAAATTCAGAACAGTATAGCTATCATTTTGAAGTTTGAAACTAAAAAATATCGACAGCAGTAATTGTTCTAAGATGGTTCAGGATAGTGGATCTTAGGCATTACATTTTTCTTTTTGATGAAATAGGCATTATATTTAAGCTGGCAGTACAGTAGGCATAACCTTCTACCACACTTAAACAGTTGACAATTCTTTACCTTAGTCTTTGCATCCCATCAGCAAGCTTTTATTGGTGGCTCACCAAAACCAAACATCTAAAGGCATCCTCCTAGCCTCCTGGTACATCAATTTCAAGGTAGGCGAACCATGGTTCCATTTAACCAAGTGAACTTCCTTTTCTTCTTGCTAGGAGTTGAAAATTTGGCATTTGTGGTTGTGACGGTTAAATGAATAACTTATGTGCACAAGTGCAGCAGAAAATTTACAACAGACTAATTAGATTCATTTTTCTTTTGTTTGAGAGAGAGTTAGCTGGAATTTTTGAATAAAACGTAAGTCTAATCCCAGCGAAAAATTCAAGCTATCTTAACCTCCAATTTTGATCAAGTAAACTCAATATTTCTGGGACAGTTAGAGTATCCATCGATGGTTAAAAAAGTTCGATGGTTAAAAAAGCATATCCCTTAAGTTTAAGAGTAGCTCACAAGGCCAGACATGGAAGACGCATCTATTGCAGGTATCCCAAACAGGTAAAGGTAACTGGTACAACTTTTACATTGTTTTCTTTAAATAATGGAGCCTTTTATTACCAGCATCTACTGCGTCCTAAGATGCATATACCCAACCATATTACATTTTTGATCCATTTTAGAGGGAAATAATGTAATCATTCTGGCATCACACACGATGTGGCATGAAAGTTATTAAGTAGTAGGGGTTTACCTGAGAAAGTAACTGCTTATGGTGAAGATTGTCATAAATAGAGGATGCAAGTTGAATGAACCGAGCACCATGCACATTGTTTATCATGGATTGTACTTCACCAGTTCGTCCAGCACAAATCTCAATAACTTTAACAAGAAGCAAACATGTTTGTTTTCCGTTAACCACGCACGACCCTTGTTGCATAACACTAGATTTTGTATATTTGTCATCATCAGTGTATATCTGTTCGATCATCCATTCATTCCACTAAAATTTCAAAGAATGGTATTAGAATATATATCTGATATAACATTGTAAAAAACTAGTTCTACTAGAAGTTCAAAGAATAATATTAAAATATATGTTTGATAAGATGTTGTAATAACTTGCAAATTGAGCAGCGCTTTTTTAACTTACAGCACATCGTAAGAGATTGTGTATGTAGTTTGGTCCTTCGCGCGAAGGTAGTGCCTCTTGTGCTAAAGTATCAATAAGTTGTTGAAGTGCACTTGCAAGAATATCGTCTTTTGTATTTCCTTTAAACCTAAATGCATGGTTTTCGTTAGATCACTACTTTGGATTTGCTATTACATAATAGGTTGTATAACAAGCATAGGTTTAGCTACCGTGAAACTTAATACTTCTATCATGGAATGGAGTACCATCTGAAATGAATTTCCTTAATGCAATAATGAAAGAACTAGTGAGTAATTGTGTTGATTTACACAATAGCAACAATAACATGACAATGTCAAGATTAAGGTGCTTAGATTTTGCAGAGTTTAAGGTACCATGCATGCATGCCATATTGCTCAAATATCAACTTCCAATACAAATATAAAATATCTAAATTAAAATAATATTAGTCTCACAAAACATTAGGAATGATAAGTGAATGCACGTAAGGCATTAGTAAATTGATTATCTTTGGACCATTCTAACAAAAATGATTAATAAGCTTTTGTGTGAGTCTAATGCACTAGCTAACAAGGACTGGGAGGAATAACTTAAAATTTTGCTCGAGAATAGCAATTACTTCCAAAGATGGTGAATATCAGGAGACATTTTTTACACCATAATGTGGCAGTATGGAATAAATTTACCATAATAGAGCGAGCTTTTAGTGTGTGGTCAAATTGATAGATGGCATATTATACACCAAAAATGGATTAATTCGTTTTGATATTTTCATGGTATTCTGCTAGAGGGAATGAATGTGAAGCCGCAAAACACAAATGATACATGGTTTCTACTATTCCATTGATAGGAAAGAGCGGATGGATCAAATTCAAAGTTGATCCTTCCTTTCATTTCTTGTGCTATATATAGTGAGTTGTATAAATTGATCTAAACCAGTTTAACAAACACATATGGATTAGTTAGATATTGAATCCAATGAGTAAATAAGTGATGGCATATGCACCAACTTGTCTTGTATAGTATGAAACATGTTTGATATGAAAAATGTTATAATTAATCATGTTTACTCTAGGTTTACAAATGAAAAGTTGTATGCTTCCATAATCTATGAAATATAGCGGTGGTGCCGATTTAATCACAACACACATTTTTAATTTAATTTGACAACATTATGATATCATCCATAGTACAACTAAGCCAATGCAAGTATCACATTATCATATGTGTTTCCATATTTGTTAGTGAGAGGGAAAGAAACCAAAGCGACCCATGCCAAAACATTATCATCTGGCACGTTGATTCAACATTGGACCGGAATGCTCAGTCATGCTTGGTTGATATACTCACCATGATGGGTCATCATTTTGTTCATGGGGGCCATGCTGTAAAAATTGTACCATCCTTTCCTTTCTCGTAAAGTTGCTATGAATGTGTGTTGAAATAGTGTTGGCAAGCACTGACACTGTGGTCCATGCAAATCGCTCATTGGCACGGCTTGGTTCAAAAATGCTAGCAACGGCTAAAAAATACGTTCTTAAAACATCTTCTGGCGCCACCTGAAAAACCTTGAGCCCGCTCCTAGTAAACCATCTACAAAATATAATGCCAACAAATTTTAGAATTTTTAAGCTAAATTCATGTAGGAAAATAAGATAAGAGAAAATAAAATGTATGTGGGACTACTACGTACTTTTGCAAACCATGCCACTCAAGCTGATGTAGAACTTGGCAACTATTGAAATCAAGTCTTGCCAACTCAAGATAGGTATTATTATTGACAAGTGGCATCCTGCCAAAAGTGATTCATAATTTATGGGTAAATTTACGTTATCCTTGCTAAAGAAATATGCAACACAAAAAAGTATAATTTTTTAATATAGTAATAACTTTCACCTGTATAATGTCTTTCCGATCCATACGTCATCACTACCACCATATTGATCCAGATAAGTTCTTGCTTCTAAACGTGGCAAGTTTGCATACCAAGGAAAGTCCAGCGTGTATTGTACCTATCAATCAACCAACAACATTATTTTTATCATGTCTACAGAAGGTCATTTTTATGTAAACAAGATAATATATGTGCTTGAGACTTCCTAAAAATAGAAATGGCAAAAGAATACCATATATTATTGAGAAACTGACATGAATCTTAGATTATACTCACATTTGGTAAGACTATACTAACTAGCAATTGTATTCTCTGTTAGAACTATATATATTGTATGTCGTCTACGTGCAATATTGTGAACAATCTCACTTAATGTTTCTTGTGTAAATCCACCCAATGATGCATGGATTCTCTCTAAATTCTTAACACTTTTATATTGTTCAAACAATATGAATTATACAAGTGTTATGAAGCATATATAAACCTCAATTTCTAGTAGTAGACTTATTACCTCACCAGGTAGATCCTTAGAAATGATCCATTTATCACAAACTGTGCCTTGGGCTTCTCTTTCTCTAAGATATTTATATGAGAAAGCCCTAGCATGCTGCAAGATATCCTCTCCAGGAAAACTTATTTGAGCAGCCCTATTCATGTTATACATCCCAGTGATTGCCTGACTTGATTGTCCCACTAAACAAAAAAACTCCCCATCCTTCTCAAAATGCTTAAACACACCTGCATAACAAAATATTTGATGCACAAAATTAGAGAAATCTATAGAGTAAGTACAACATTGTTATCAAGAAATACAACTTCATTGTTAATGTAAGAGGGAAAATTGTGTTCTACTTGGGGAGACATCATATCCATGTAGTCGTAGTAGTCGGAAAGCCATAGATGTGTCATCCAAATCTGCTACATTTGAATTTCTAGCCCAGCATATCCCTTCTTCTGTCCAATACCTACATAGTGAAAAGGGAGCTAAATAACTCTTTCCTCATAAAGTACCTCAAGTCTAGCATTACTATACTGCGGTCCTGAAATAAAAAATATGCTAACAAAATATATATAAAGAAAAACCTTTTGACATAATCCATGCAATATTCAATCTCTCGTTCAAAGTATCGTGAGATCCCAAGACGCTCCAATCGATCAACGGCCCAGAGGTGCTCAAAAAGATCAACTGGGTAAACATTGGGAACTGGAGATGGTCAAGAAGAACAATGTGAGATCACATATTACAAAATGGCAATTTAATAGAGTGTGCTACATCATAAAATTTAATAAATCTGATGCTATGGACGTCTTACCGCCTCCATTAAATTTCTTGACTATCATGCTGATATACTCGAAGCATTTGTTGTCACCAGTTTGCATAAGAGCATAAGCAGTGGCTGAAGGAGAACACAAGAAGGAACCGTCAGAGGATTTTAGCTTCAAGAGCTTTTGCCAATCCAATCCAAGCATCCCTTCAAGACTATATAGAAATGATGTCAGAATGTTGTGCATCAGATCCTTTGGAATCCTGCATTGTAGCACCATAAGAAATTAGTGAGGAAAATTTCCTGATGGAAACAAAGGAAAAAGTGATGCATCGTATTCTACAACTGATTAGTTCAACATGATGCGTACAAATTAAGCTTCACTTCTCGGTTATAATATATGCTTTGCAAAGCATTGTGTTCATATGGAAATTCAATCCCCAGGCTCCTAGCAGCTTCTATGAGAGAAGGGAATGCAATCTCAAAACCAACGGGCATTGGCTCTAGATCTTCTTTCGTTAACCTCCACATATTGTCCTCAAGAAATGAGAGTCCTAAACACCAAATGGTCAATAGCAAAGCATAGGAGTCCATCAATGATCAGTTGTCTATTTGAAAATATATGTGACTTCACACTACCTTTCTTGCATTTGCTAGGTTCAAGAGACCACTTTGTTAGTGCTACAACACAAGCAAGAGTGTTCATCATTCGGTCATAGGCAGAGAACAAGGCCGCGTCGCCCCACGAGTTGTCAGGTAGCTGGTTGTTGATGATCCAATTGACAGACGTCATGAATTGGGGTCCATCGCCACCATCTAGCCTTGGCACTAGGGCAACCCAAGCAGTGTCGTATGCTGAGATGCTGATCTCCCCATCATTCATTGATCTTAGCATTGCCCTTACTTGATAAATTAGAGGCAGAAAATCTACTTCTGGAACCTGTTGGAAATATAGATTGGCATGGTAAGTAACAAATTGATAGTCGGTCAGTTATTCATTATAACTATAGAAAGCTTTTTATCCAGAAGTAAATGAAATCACTATAGAATTAGAAGTTTGCCTTGGGAATTACTTCATGGTCATCAAAGTAAAGTGGTTTCTCTGGTTGTTTGGTGATCCGAGTCTCCTCTTTCATTGGATTGGTTTGTAACCCTGCAACTATAGTGAAATATACTCACTTTCAAGTTCAATAGTAGAAAACATCACAAGTTAACATGACATATCCACCATAAGGCATCAAGTAAACATAAATTTTGCTTACATAGAGTAACAATGCATGAATCCACACTAACCACCATCAAACCCAACCTAAGCTAGAACATCATTTACCCTTATTTTCCAATTATTATGTTAGAATCCGTGCAATATCCTATGGAACTCTAGTGTTGGGGGGAATACGTTGACCGATACCGATGAGAACTTTTTTGTTCCATGGAATATTGAAAAAACTTGTGCCACTAGCAACCAAATTAGTTTCAATGTTAAATACAATTTTTTGAAATTAGTTGAATGGATAAAATCCTCTAAGCATTGTATTAGGTACTTTAACAGTATCTACACGATGGAGCTGAGAAGTTAAATGAAAAAAAAGACAGTACCATAGACATCCAAAAAATAAACTACTAGTAACTGTGTACATGCAATGTGCATGGATGTTAGATGGGTATTAATTGCATGTCTCTATTAGGTATGATATTAATTATGTGCTTAGCATTAATGTTGATATTAGGTATATCATTAACTACATGCTAAATGTGGAGGTACTCAACATTGAGGCGATTTGGACCCTTAGATTATGTGGTTTGATGGCTGAGATAGTGTGAATCTACTACACTCGTGCTTTTATAGGAGTAGTAGATAGATAGTAAGTTTTGTTAGTTGCATGTTTTGTAGGTGGGTATGTGATCATCGCATAAAGGAGCCTACTATCAATTCAAATCTTGACTTAACATGCTAATGAAAGTGAGACCATTGATTATTTATCATGGTAACAAGATGATCGATCAACATTTGGCTAACATGTCACACATACAACTTCCCAACATAAATAGCTTGAGATTGGGGAAAGTTGACTAAGGAATTTAGCCGATAAACTTATGGTGACTCCACCGATAATCATATCACTAAGAATCATTGTGCCATCGTATTGGAAAACAACATGGATTGTAAATGCATGTGGTTTCAATTCATAAAAAGCATATTTTACAAGTTTTAGGTCTCAGGATATTGTAGCGGCATCCATGGAGTGGTTTTCTTAGGGAACCCATGGAGTGATCATTAAGTTCTAGTCATAGACTGAATGTTAACCCAAGTTACGCAGACCCCTCCCAATGCACGAGTGGTTAGAGCATGTGCTTAGTACTTTTATAAGCTTAACTGAACTTCCCAATACAGAGGGCTTAGTTTAATTTGTTATAACTAAGCTTTGTTAATTTTATATATTACTTGTAGGCTCTCCTCCTTAATTACACCACCAAATTAGTTTTTTTGTATATAGCATAACTTAGCACTGGCGCAAGGTGGAGCCTTAGAGGAAAATTTTGCCCTCCACTACAAGTACGTTAGCTCCTCGAAAGAAATGCACGTTGGCTGCTAGCGCCACTATCCCAAGGGCATCATGTGCTCATGGGCAAAGTGAATATAAAGAAAGGCGAGGGTTGGCCGGAGGAGAAATTAGTGGACACGTTTCGGAAGACTAAAGCACACGAGACATGTGCTACGATATGAGGGGAAAATACAGTACACATGCTCACTAAATAATCCTAGACAAATATATTAAAATAGGGTGTATAATATGACGAATGACCCTGCAACCACGAGAACTAAGATAGTATCTGTCGATAGGAAGAAAAAAGACAGATTGATATGAATAAAGACTTCCCTTTTTCGTTTGTTACTCGAAGTACATATTAAACTTTGAATTGAAATTAAAGATATGATCGGTTATTTTTGCGTCAATAATATTGAGATTTTTTTCAAGACTAGTTTATAACTATTTAAATAATATAATTTAAGTACCAGCATCATCAAATTCAAATATGTTGCCTAACATACACAGGCTTACATCTTTTTTTTTTACATTCTTAGTCCAAATCAAGTAATACCTTTAGTGCCTTCAGCATGGGAAACATAAGTGGCATGAACCATCCACCTCGCCGAGCGCGTGCTAGCGGGCTCCATCAAAACAGTGGTAGCATATTTGCTGCGGACTAGGCATGAATCTGATTGTTTAACTGCAAAAGAGAAAGGGGTAAGGGGCAACTTGATAGAAATTGCAAAAAATGAACCCGGGTGCCTTGGGTCTCATTTTTAAAATGAAAAACTACACTTCAAAGGTTCAAACAATTTTAAATTTTGTTTCACAAGTAAATATGCACCATGAAATACATAACTGTAAATTTCATCAAAAAATGATTACTTCAGAACTAAAGAAAATAAAAAATATGGGTCCATAGAAGATGTATTGTTATAAACCCACATTTGTTTAATTGCACAAGTCACATATAAAAACATATGTTAATACAAAATTAGAAGTACGTAGGTCACACCTATGTCAGAATTTTCTAAATTTTCAAAATATGATTATTATTATTATTATTATTATTATTATTATTATTATTATTATTATTATTATTATTGTTTTGAAAAGATTGAAAATAGCAGGACCAGCAGAGCTCGGCATCAAAACGACTGCTCTGGGAACTTGACATCAATGAATATCTGGGTCTGTCTGGTTTGTTGTGATAGATTTGACATTTAACGAGATGATTTTTCTTTTGACTCCATCTCAAACAAGTAACTTGAATTCACATTCGGATTTATTTTTCTTATTTTTTGGAGGAGGCTGTCGCATGCATGCACAAAACCATCCTCGTCACCGCACATATGATACAAGAGGATAACATAAATATAACGAAATATGTATATGGCAACCGTGTGCCAGATTGTGAAACTGCCACATGCCTCCCAATCTCCTTCCTTTCCCGCACGTCCTCCCCGACCTCCCTCCCGATTTCTTTCCTCTCCTGCACGCCTCCGGATCTCCCGCTCGTGACTCCCTAATTTTCTTAATCGTCAATTATGGCCCCACGCGACTTCCCAATGTTCGGGCAAAAATAATGCTTGGACTAGGATTTGATCTCTGATTTGCAGGTAATCAACAAAGGGAACTAACCACCTCACCTATGACACTGATTGTTGAACAAGCTAAGGGAAATACTGTTTTTGACACGTTTTTGCCTTTAATATGTTAGCACTGATTTTTTTTTTGTTTCAAGCATCATGGTAACTTTGATCATTGGGAATAAATTTGTTGAACCCGCCCCCGATAATTTCTGTAAATAGCACGATAACATTCACGCTATAGACCTGATAATTTAGATACAAACATCGTGGTAACATTAACCATTGGGGAAGATAAATTGAAAAGATACCCGATTATTTATGTGTGTAAATAGATGGTAATATACGCAGGGCACATCTGATAACTGAGGTAGAAACACCATGATAACTTTGACCGTAGGGATTTTTTTTGAAAAGGTACTCCGATATCTTCTGTGTAAATAGCACGGTAGTATACCTCCCTCCCCTAACATTTTTATGTGTAAATAGCATGAAAATATATGCAATGCGATAACTAAACACCATGATAAGTTTCTGACCCATGGGGAGAATTTGCTGAAACATACCCCTAATAAATTTAGTATAAATAACATGATATTTTAAGCACTACAGGCTTGATAAGTTACCTAGAATCACCATGATAACTTTTTCTCCCAGGAAAAAGTTGTTCAAAACATCCCCAATAATTTTCGTGTAAATAACATGATAATATAAGCACCGCATAACCGATAACTTGCAATATAAACATGATGGTATCTTTTTTATCAAAGGAAAATAAGTTGTTAAAGACATACACTCGCCTCGCGCGTGGGCCTCTTGGATGAACACAACACATGGCGTGCCACGAGAAAGTGACATAATGTTTAGTGTCATGAGGGGCACACGTGCTATAGGCGTGATAAGTTACGCAAAAACATCGTGGTAATTTTTGACCTATGGAAAATGCTACCGAAACACACTCAGGTTTTTAGGTGCAAGTAACATGATAATATACGAACTGTAGACCCGGTAACTCATGTACAATCCCTCATGGTAACTTTGACCAGGGGGAGGTTGATGTACATATACCCTGATAACTTATGTGTAAGTATCACGGTATTTTACACATCGAAAACCTTCTAACTTGTGTATAAAATACAGTGGTGACTTTGAAGGGGTGTAGTTGTTGAAGCATAGTATTTGGTACGTTCTATGTAAATAGTATGGTAAGTTACACAACACATGCCTGATGACTTGCATACGAATATCATGGTAACTTTGTCCTGAGGAGAAATCATGTGGTAGACGTGAAGAAGTGACAGTTTTCTCGGGGGTGGGCGCGCGAGATGTGCGGGAGAAACAGGTTTCTCGGGCGAGACTCCGGGGTCATTTGGGAGGAGGCGGGGTTAAAGGACCGGAGATCGTGTGGTATTTTAAAATGAAAAAAAGTAGAGGTGTGACAGTTTTGCTTATATGGCACACGTGTACCAAATATCACATTCTTAAATATAAACTAGAGCATGCGGAAACATGGTAGAATGGAGGTGACCTTGCAGAAGAGCGCACCGCCGTGAACCGAAGATGCCAGATGCCCTCGCCGGCGGTGGATGGAGTTGCATGGTGTGGCCCTCGCAATGCACGTATCGTACTTGAAATCGCTGGGATGCTGGGCTATTAATACCCTTCCGAAGAGGCAAAGGGAAAGATGCTGCTTAATCAGTGAAGAGATTATTGACTAAAAAAAGAGGGCAGCTACCGCGTGGCAAGAGCCGTTAGCCATCTCCAAACCAATCAGAAGGAGGGAAGGGGATGATTCCTCTTGGGGGATGCTCGCGGTAGTGGACAAAAGCCTTGGTCGCTTGCAGCGAGAGAGATCGGGACATCTCTGACTCTGCGGCCGCGTCGTCGCCATACAATATATTGCATCCAATAGGAACGAATCCTTAAGACAGGCCAACCGGATCTGAATTTAGTTAATGACGCCAAGACTGGACCGCGCGGCTCTACAGACCTCGCCTCTTTCAGACATAAGTAAGATTCTTCTTGTGCTTCTGTTTCTCACAAACAATTGTGGTATATATGTACCTTCTCTTTTCTTGAAAACAAAAAGATCCCGCGTTTACACGTGGTACCACCGAACAACTATTAATCGAGTTGCTATTCTGCACATAAACTAACTTGGCCCGCATGTGCATTTCAGCATACGGACTCGCGAAAATAAAGAAAGGTTGATCCATGGACTTGGGCCGGCCGGTGGGAGCAACTTGATCAAAACGTGCGTCGGGCAGAAAATGCATCCGACGTCCTCCACCCAAATTCCCCAATTCTATATCTCAAATCCCTAGATTGGCACTGCTCTACCAAAGCTCTTCTACCCTACACCGGTGATGGTCATTCCATTCTCCCTAGCTCCACACTACCACACCATCAAAGCCCACAACATGTCCATCTCAACCAAATTGATGATCCTCGGCCTCTAGTTTGCCTATTCTATCGTCTAGCTTCACCGCCACCAACATGTCCATTCTCCCTTGAGCACGAACAAGTCAAAAGGGTGGGGACAACTATGTGCCGCGAGGAAATTCAGGATTTTTGCAACCTAAGCAGCTTTTTGACATGAACACCACCACCTCTTCCCCTAACCATATCCCTCTTTGTACAAGGTAGCTCTGAAGGATCCACACTAGTACCATGCTATGCTTGAGGACTATAATCCATTATTGCAGAATGATGCTCATGGTTTTATATAGCACGCTAGTTTAGAAGAGGTCATGTGTTAAGAGCATGGTTAATAGTACAGCCAGCTTTAGTCTGCGCATAACTTTTTATGATTTTTTTTCTATAATAGTCTGCGTGCCTTGATAAGTTTCCCAGCATACCCTGCTTTGACCGCAGTAATTAGCATTGCTTTGGCAGCTGCAACGAAACATCAGCCAATGAATCAGGGCATGCAGCGGGCTCGTACTGCCCGCCTGGGAGAGATAAGATGAGCCGTAAGGACCAGCCAATCCACTGCATGCAGTAATTGAAATTGTCCAGCGCTTTCCATGCATGCACAAGGGTAAAACAGTCCAAGAAACAACCAATAGGGCTCTCCTTGGTATCCAGAATGCTATTTATGCGCAGAGAAAAAAGAATCGGAGGAGGTACTTTATTAATACATGGCCCACCTCCCACTCTCACATAGTGTCTAGGAGCACGTACTGCAACTGATTCTTATTATGTAGCCGGCACCTCTTCTCTCCCCTCCATGTAAGCAGAAAAATAATATTCTAACTCTTATAACCTTCTTACATAATAAGCTTATTTATTACTTGCTCTAAGGGACTTCGGTCCAAGCACATAAGCAAATATTTTAAATAGCACGCTATAATATTTTTGTCTATGTGGAGAAGAGAGATGTGAAAAAGTAAGGGAAGTGGGCTCTCATACAAGAGCCTAGTGTTATAATGATGTAAGCTATAAGGTAGCTTCATAATTACACATTGATATTAGGCAGGATATTAGTTACATGGTGTGGCGCTTACAATGCACATATCGTATTTGAAATTGCTGGAATGCTGGCCTATCAATACCCTTCTGAAGAAGCAAAGGATCAACAGATTTTAACTAAAAAGAGAGAGCAGTCACCGCATGCCAAGAACCGTTAGCTATCTCCAAACTAATCAAAAAGAGAGAAAGGAATGATTCCTCTTGTGGGAAGCTCTCGGTAGTGGACAAAAGACATGGACGCTTCTAGTGTGATAAGGACATCTCTGCGCCCATATCGTCATGCATGCTAAAGACAATATACAATATTACATGGCCACTGCTAGGCCCCGGCGCGCTAGGCCAACAGTTCAGTCTGTCGCGCCCTAGTCCATCCGATACAGCAAGCCCCAGTCGTCTAATCTGCC